TTTTCTCATTGCGATATACTGCTCTTTGTATGAATATCTGAGCTGTGACTACTTACTTCACAGAAAAGATATTTTGATGAAAAATTATTTTTAGACATATTAAGCTGTTAACCTCTACGAGAAAAGATCACTCATTTCTCAGAATTGTCATTTTTGTCCGTATTGAGTCGCAATATGCACCATGTGGTGGTCCAATTAAAAATCACCTTTTACCTAAATTAAAAGCAAATAAACAGTTCTTTGTATGTGACAAGTTTCATCATTACAATTTCTATTTCAAGAAATGTAATTTTTTTTAAAATTTTCTTATCAATGGCCATCAGGAGCTTCGAGGCGTTGGCTGCTGTATGACCAAATGGTGAATGGGGAACTTGGAACTTCAAAAATCATTTAGGGGCAAAGCACTTAAGGCCGTGGGTCGTTCCCTCCTCTGTAGTCGTACTAGTATTATGTAGTCACTTGATCAGTTGCACAATAGATAGCGTTAGTGGTTTTCACAGCATATACACGGAAAAAATGATGATTCGTGGGGCGAATCGTTCGTCCGTACATTTGTACTTTCGTCCGTTCGTCTGTGCATCCATCCGTCCGGGCTTCCGTGTGTCGGTCTGTCCGTGAGTCCGTCCGTCTTTCTGTCCGGCCATACTGGCGTCAGACTGTCTGTCCATCCGTTTGTGCGTCCGTACGGACGAACGCTACGCCCCACTCATCATCAGTCACTCCGTGGGTATGCTGTGATCTTTTTCTCAAAACATAAATTGCTATGACAATGTTTGGCACATGAAAAGAACTGTTTATTTGCTTTCGATTTAGTTACAAAGTCTATTTTATTTCAACCATCATATGGTGCAAGTTGCGTTTCATTATAGACAAAACAACTATTTCGTGAAATTTGCGATTTTTTCTCTTAAAGTTTGACAGCTTGAGAGGTCGACCAAATTTGGCACGGAAGAAGAGATACTTAATGAAATATTTTTTTTTCCACAAACATCCAGACGAGATTCCGGGAAGTTCAGGAGGCAGCCACGTGACCAAAAATTATTTGTCGGCGAAATATTCTAGCAGTTACCTTTTTCAGTGCAGTAAAATCAGCGCGATTTTTTTCGAATACATTTGAGGTCGCCAAAATGGCTGGGACGTCTGACGTGGAATGACCCAATAGCCAATTCTTCCATTACATATTCGTGTAAATGTGAGCCAGTTCAAGAACACTAGTATCATTCGCATTTCAATACATAACTGTACAGTACTTAATTTTACAAGTTACCTGCACTGAATACCTTCTCAATGCGCGTACCGTCATCTATGCTCAGTGGCATTGTGCTTTTGTGCAATACTGATAAAATATGTATATGTTGTTGCGCGTCGTACTGTATTCCTTTTAATAAACTAATCGAATGAGTACCATGGTATATCTGCAGAAATACACATGCAGCTGTGTTGATGCATACTTAAGCATAGAACTTGACATTCACTTAGATTGGCCGAAGCATGCAGCTAATGGAACATTATCAACTTGGAGCAGCACCTTTTTATTTGCCTGCGCGAGCAAGCTGAAAAGGTAAAGTAATGTTCATATCTACGGCACAAAAGGTATATACATTCCGCCACAGCGCGCTTTTTATGACGTTTATTACTCAGCATACCTTTTCTAGCATTTCTCACTGCAGTGGAGCCCGATGCCACTGAATATGCTTGCTATGTACTCAATTTATACTTACACATAAGAAAGCAGTTAGTTATGCAGGGTGCATACTGTATGTTGCACTCTATGTGAAATTTCGGTCATTGTTCCTTGTGTATTTATTTTAGGTTTCCAGGATTGAATTTCCTCTACAGAAAGAACAGCTTCGCCCCACTTCTCTCGAAAGCACCAGTCATGTGTGCCTCGCTTCTATGCCATATGGAGAATTCGCGATATACTTTATAAAGTTGCATTTTAGATCATTTAGCTGCGGAATGCTATTTAGATCTGGAAATTGTAAACAATTCGTATTTTGTTCTGCAGTTTCATAATTCAGGCATTAAAGGGTGAAGTGCTCAAGGTCACGACATGCGCTTCTTGCCTCCTTTCCATCCCCCTTTCTGCGTATAGCATCTCAGCGCTGTCGGTGGTAGGAGAGGAGAGATATAAAGCGTCTAATTAACGGCACACTAGAAAGGAAAGCGTTGTTTTGACAGTCCCGAAAACACCACTCATACCGAGAGACGAGGCTTGGTGAGAGGGAAAACGCGTGAAATATGTGGGCGGCCACAATGATCTTGAGATTCCCCCTGCGAACAGCACGATTTGGACGGCGTCTACTGGGTCCTATCGGTAAACGAGTACATTTTCACCTATGCGTGCCGTAGACGCAACCTACGAAGTTTCAAAAATTTTCATCCAGACAAGGTCGGCAAAAAATAAGAAAAGTCGTGAGGTCGCATGCGGAGATGTCAGCGCGAAATTTAAAAATGAAACAGGAGTGTAGTGGATGGTTGGCAGGACTAAAATGACAGGAGCTCGAATCTGCGGAGGCTCGTTCTGGAGCATGCACGAGTCCATAGAGAATGCAAAGGGCTACGAAAACTGGTGGAACGCATGGCTGGGAAGAGCGGTTATAGTGCACCGGTCATAATGACCGCTCCAGATTGAGGGGGATGATGTCACGAGGCACGCACTTGATTTTACACTTTATTGTGGGAGGTTTTCAGCCACTTTGGAGTAATATTTGACAGAAACTTCAGAGCGTCTTTAGTGCGCGAGTGTGTTTAGTACGTAAATGTATGCGGGTGCATGACAGTCTAGTCGAAATCTCGGGTTTGTAACAGATAACAAAAAGAAACAAAATTTGTCCTACACGCAATTTTAGTCAACTGGGAAGCTCACTTTCGAGAGGTCCCTGCAGTAGCCATACGACACCCTAGGATCCACCTTGTTTACTCACATGCATGGGTATCAATTTATTACATGCTCGCAATTTTTTTTTATTTTTTGCTCGAACAGTATTACTTATAGTTACGAGCGCTCATGCTACGCGATTCATTTATCCACACATTCCAGATTTATTTATTTTACTATTTACATGCTCCCGCGTATAATAAACGTGTATTATCAACGTAAATGACAAAGCAGTTGACGGATTACAGCATATACGCCTCACTTGCTCGCAGCGGCCGACCTCCAAGGCCGTTCGGAGGCCATATCCAACGGGCAGGTGCGTATTTGAGGCCCTCAGCATTAATGCCCGTTGCACGACTGTGTCGACTGTTCCGAAGAAATGAAGAGGAAACCGCTCGCCGTCGCCAGTTCCCTCGCACAGATCGCGTGCTTCGGCGCGCGCTTTCACGTCCGCCAGCTGTGCGCGTATCGTCATCCCGCCACCCACGATCGGAGAAGCCCCGCGCGCCTCGCCGCCCACGCGGCATGTGTCGTCATATCTGTCGGACAGGCGAGGCTTCGGCTGAGTCGGGGGGTTTCGCCTAGAGAGGGCTCTCGCTAATGCCGATTAAATACGAGGCGGAGAGTAGTCTCACGTGGTTGGGAGATGAATGCTGCGGGATCGCGAGAGAGCTAAACCAGCCCCGAATGAATCTTGGTGCGTGTATTTGCAAGTGTGCACGTGGGTACGTACATATACAAAACCAGAAAAAAACTAACGACAGGATGTAAAAATGTGATTGTTGGTGGTGATGCACCGCGAAATTCGGGGCGCACAAAAATGACGCGAACAAAGCATTTGCCGTCCCATCCTCACTTTCTTTGACCTTTTTTTTTTTTTTTTGTCCGCCACAAGTCTCGCGGTGTAAAAAATTTGGTTTTGGGGGGTTCAGCACTCCAACCCTTGGCTACGTCACTGTAGAGTGTACTAGAAGTTTTAGTTCACTCTAGCCGCTATATACAACGTATAACCCATTTAGAGCCACCCGTATGGAACCGTCTAATATTTTTCTTTCTGAAACAAGTTCAAATTCATTTAGCCTACTGATGTAGAAGGTAAAGAAAGAAAAAAGCCACGCTAGGTGGGCTTAATGTAATAGCGATTCGTTACACCCAAAACTTCCCGTGACTACAAGCCCCCCTCCCCTCAAAAAAAAAAAAAAACAGTGCCGAGTTAAAAGTAATGTCACACACTTGTTTAGTAATGGGCAGTTTCGAATTGCACCATTTTGCAATCTAGAAGCACTAAGCCATGATGCATACGACATACGACGGTTCATCTGGCAGTAAATAAATATAGGGCGTACAATAATAGAGAGGTGAGCTATTTGATACGCAATCACTCTACCAGACAGGACATGCAAACACGGACACAAGAAGCAAATCAAAGGACACCAGAGGAGTCCTGAATTTTCTCTACTGTCCGTGTTTGTGCGTTCTGTCTTTTAGAGAGAGTTTTCTTTGTCTCTCTGCGTGTAGTAGCCAAGCAATAGGTACTAGCAAAAAACAAAACAAAACAAATCTGCCAAATAGGAAAACATTGAGTATGCACGTACTTTCATGTCTTGTTTAGAGCAATCTCGGGCACTCCAGTACGGAGAAACGCTCTCATTTAGTGTCACCGCATAGAAATGATACGGAGCCTATTAGTACACGTGACTTTCGTCGTCGATAGCGTGTGCGTACATTGCGGGCCTTCCGGCGGCGACGAAAGAAGCGCGTCAAAGGGCTGCGATGCGCAGTGAGCGGCTGCGACGTTGGGCGTAACGCCGAAACCGAAACTGCCGGCCCGCTACCGGTTTGCGCTCTCTTACGTGGTGCCCTTTTGCGCAAGACCTGGGGGGGGGGGGGGGGAGGAGTGTGGCCACGGTTGCGGGACCTCTACACCCGCGGCTACCCCCTTCCTTCGACGCTGCATAACCTCCGCTGCGTGTACCTACGGCGGCCACTACATACTCGGCCACCTAACACACCTGCGTGTTGGTTTTTCTTCTTCCTCCTTCTGCCGTACACGGACTGGGTAATGGCGGCCGGAGAAGGAAAGGCGCGCGCCCGCCCCCCGATTGGCCGCGCCCGGTCACATGACATTCGTTCGAACCCGCTCACGGGTTCTTTTGAAAAAAATTCTCCCTTGACGGGTGGTAGGAAGATGGCCGTACGCTGAGGGGCCTAGCCAGCTGAGCCAGCGACCACCACCACCGTCGGCGGGGTGACAGGCCGCCCCAAATTCTGGCTTCACGTGGGCTGCGGGCGCCCTGTCGTAGGAAGGAAAGAAGGTACAAACGAGCCGCCGCCGCGCCTCGGAGTTTGGGACCGGGAGTGATGTGCTCCCGGGTCGTCGTCAGCTGAGCGCCAGCCACTTGCCACGGTACGACCCCGTCGCCGTCACTGGGACGACGGCTAGCCGCCGAAGCGCCATGGACGACATCAAAAGCGACGCGGTTCTCCACATCGCCGAGATCATCACGGGTGAGTAGACGAGCAGCTGGGGGCCCCTCTCGGGCGCGTCAAACTTGGCGGCGCTTGTGACGCTGGTACGACGAGATAGGGGACTCCGCGCACGCCCATTCGGACCGTTTTGGGACGGGTGCTGGGTTTCGCGCTGCCCGCATTGGCCCGATGGCCGCGCGCATACGGACACGGGGTCGCTCCGCGGGATGCGACGCGTGCGCTCAGCGCGTCTTTTACGGTTGCCGGGCCGATCACGACAACCGCGACGTGTGAGTGACAGGCTCATTCACAGAGCTGGCTCTCTCTTCCTCCTTGGAGGCGTGTCGTGTTTTCTCGGCTAGTTGGCGTCCCTTCGCACGCACATCGTCCGAAGTTTAGTTTTGTAACATGATGTAACCGATGTTATAATGCTGGTAATACCGTTTCGTCGAGTGTACTAAATATAGAGAAACGAAGGCACTTAAACGGGCGCGATTGGGACGCAGCAGCATCGAGGCCAGTCGGTACGTGGCCGTAGCAATGCCAAATGACAACGCGATCAGGGAGCGTGGCCGTGGGCTTCGCGCTGAAGGCCGTCCTCGCTTGGAAGTCTGAACGGGAAGACTTCGCGGTTGCCTTTTGCTTAGAGATGCTAATTTTTGCATCGCGTTATGCTGAATCGCGCAGTCACTCGATCTGAGGAGTCCGCCGCTGAGCGGAGGTGGGGAATAGTGAGTCAACTCACACGTAGGCTGGTAAAAAAGGTTCGGCAAAATGACGCAAACCTTAGTAGTGAACATTTATGTAAGGTGTGTTTAGTTGGCATGTTTTTATGCTTACACGTCGGCGTGTCATAATCACCGTCATCATTTTTCTTCTATAACGTCGGCATTTACATAATGTGTCAAACAGTGCGGTGCGTTTGCGTTTACTACATTATATATACAGCCATCAGGTTATGCATGTGGCAGTTTCGGTTATCAAGCTTTGACATGGAAGGGCCAAGTGACAACCTTGACATGTTTCATAATCGCCAATTAAACACAGCTGGAGGCTTTATTACACAACATGATCTTTACTGCAATGTGTACAATATTTCTGTCAAACCACCGTGTTACAACTGACGTGCTGCCAAAACACAGGTAGGGAGAGCCATGCACTAGACGGTTGCATTGACAGCTGTAAAAGATTACGTATGTTCCACTTCTGTGATCACCTGCAGTTTTGAGGCCACTGTGTCTAACTGGAAAAGAAGGCTTATGGGGTTTAACATACCATGTCAGAGAAATAAAATTCGTATTAGCTTGCAAACTGGTTCACAACACTATACAGGTTTGCTGACTGACTTGGCACAATAAGTTTATTTCCGACATGTCGTGCAGGTCGTTTGCTTGACATTAATGTGCTCAATGCCATCGCATCCTTATCTTGATGCCTTGCTATGCAGGGCTGTTTCTTCTGCCCACTGATTTAGTCGTGGTTAACATTTCTATCGTGTACTATAACCAACTAACCGGGTAAGGAGTCCAGCCTTACTTCACCGACCTTTAGTTCTTCACTGAATATTATGGTGCTCTTTGGCCTGTTCCGGCCCTTGCACTGCAAAGTTCCTCACGCGCTGTTGTTGTTAGGCTTTATTTTCTTTTATTATGCACTTGCCACTGTGACAAGAAGAGAGCGTTTAGCAGACATGTTTCGTGGTGAAGCTGGTCGACTAGCTTGAGGCTCTCTTTCAACTTTTGGCGCTTTTTGTTTCATCAAAAAAGGGAAACACGTGAACGTGTATTACTCACAATAATGTGCCTGAATGCTTTAGTGGAATGGAATTCAGATCTGTGGAAATTCTTCTTGTCTGTATACCAGATGGCCAAAGCTTTTGGTTAGTGGAATGAAGTTCCGGTGTGCCTTTCTTCAAATGCCACTGTGTGCATTCACCTATTTTTCTCTTTTGTGTCTGAAAAAAAGACTTCTAATCAAACGTAGAGGTGCAGTGTGCTAGAAAGATCATTCACACAATCTTTTTACTTCACATAGCATTGTTTGTGTTGACTTAATGAACACGTGCTGACTTATTCGTCTAAGATTTGTATAATGCATTATGCAACCACCAGTGTAAATAGGAATGTGCCTAGTATCGTTACATCCATGCACAAGGGCTAATTGGTGCAGAGCTTGGAGTTTCTATTGCTTACTAAATATAGGCATGTTTACTAAGTCTACTTTTGCTGCTAACTTGTCGTTCACCTGAATTCAGCGACAATATCTCAGTAATACTCAATATTTTCATTTAATCTTACTTTTTTAGATTACTACATGAACTTTTGTTATACGTACTTCATGCCCCAATGTATCTTGCATCTACTGTCATTGATGGTTTCAGCATTATATGGCTGCTGGTCGCCGATGAAGATAGATTCTACCATGTGCTGTGTCACAGTCTGTCTGTTTTCTGGAACCTGGATGTCCTCACTATATTTATGGAATTTGTTTGGGCGCCAATTCCATTCCAAAACTGATAAACGAGTAGAGGCATTCAGTCACTACATAGTTTCTTGTCAATACACTAGAGGGAACTCTTGCACCAGTGTCTATGAAAGCTGCGATGCAGGGCGCTTTAAATTACAGAGCAGAGGAATAATAGGCAGTACACAAATTTGCCTAATTTTCGTACTTTTGGCTCCATTTGGCTTTCTGTGGCTTGAAGTTGCTTTGTCACGAAACGACAATCGGCAAATGTTCAGCAGTTGCACTTCACTATTTCAACCTTTGGCTTACCATTTCAAATCGTCTCAGGAAGTTTATAACGGTCCATTCTTTCATTCGAAACAACGCCCAAACATAGCAATAATTTAAACCGCAAGTGTGTTCGAGGCCCACAGGCACAAAGACTAGGCAAATTTGTGTACTACCCATCATTGCCAGGGTCGCTGAACGAGAGTCCCCTTTAGTTAATTTTAGGAAACTTTGATTCACTACACATGTACACCGGGTACGTGCGAAAGATTCATTCTTTATGTGAAGCCCAGCAGCCATATCTGTTTTGTTCAAGCCGTTTTCATCACGAGGCATTATTTTTTTTCTCTGCTTCTTCAGCACGGCAGCTGTGCATGCTTATTAACCTGCCGGAACGTTCCACTACATGCCCATAAAGCAGTCAGGCTACATAAAAGTGAAATGACTCTCGCTGCGTTAGCTACGCTGGCAAAGAATGTAGGCCCTCTGAGAAGGAAAACTACTTGTAAACTGGTAGCACTTCCTGTTGGCCAAAACAATGGGTGCTGTTTACAAGTGCTCTACTGTTAACGCCACTATTTACTGTGAATTCACTTGAGGAAATATTCTGAGGTTCACTTGCTGATAGTGAACTGCTGTTTGGTACATGTGTGCTAAACCAGTTTCAGCTGAATGAACATTATTCTTTAGACAGTTTTGTTAAAGTACAATGATTCAATACTCGTGTATAGTCATAGTGGTTTCACAAAAGTGAGAAATTTAACAGGGAAGCAAACGTAACGATGGGAATTAAGAGGTGCTTTAAAAAGATCTTTCTGGGATTCCTCACCATGGTATTTTTCAGCAGCTTGTTGGTAAATGCTGACGAAGAAATGCATATGTATATACAGAAAAAGTGAATAGTGAAACGAAAATTGCATGTACATTAAAAAAAAGAAAAGGAAATTATACGCTTTTCATGAAACCAAATTTTGGAAGTTCTAGGCAGATGTAAATGACCACAAAAAGGACCATATTTACCTGAATGTAGCAATTTTTTTTTCGGATTTTCGCTCTTTGAAGTCTATCTTTGCCTTAAAGTCGAATACTGAAATTCAGGTTGTCTATAAAGTGCAATGATGCCTACAGATTGTTTTTTTCATTTTTTTTCTTGCTGAACTCACGAAAATGTTTACCCTTACATTACACTCGTGGTCTTGGTACAGTAGAGTAAATACAGAACAAAGACTGGGGGAAATATATTGAATTAACAAGAAGAATTCAGAAAGAGATACTTTGATTCAGTGAATCTATTCTGATGGTGCAAATATGCACAGTTTGAACAAGAGAAACTGAACATTTGAGTTGCTACTTACTAGGTGCTGCACATTCTCAAAAAAAGAAAAACACTACCATTGAATAAAAAATGAATGCACCTGAGAAGTGTAACTACAATCTGCATACAGTTCATCATGAGAGGTGTCTGTTAAGAGGGTAAGAGTATTCTGTAACACTGCCCCGTTGTGCTGCTTGCGTTTTAGGAGCCCTAATTACTGGATTCACATCATTCCAGGCATTTGCTACAAGAATGAACCATGTTTAAAACGAACCTCCTAGTTTTGATCCAAACAATGGTGGTTCTATCCAGGTATAACTGGTCGAATTAGATCCTTACTCTTTTTGTCACTCTGAACCACTCCTGCTGGAAGAATGCTGCTTCAGACGGCTTCCTATTATTCAATCTTATGCGAGCCATGTTCATGTTATGCTAGAGAACTTTCTGACCTTGACAGCATTTGCTGTTCTTTGGGCACTTATTCTTTTTATCTGGCCCGAACATTAAATCGCCTGCCTTGTTCAACTGTTCCTGGAATATCAGTGACCCCTCCTTGCTTTCTGAATTACATGGCTGTCCTCCTGTTTAGGTTATATTTTCCACTATCGCTCATAGCATGCATGTTAACTTAACAATCACCTTTGTAAATCAAAGTTTATCAACAGCACCAGCGAGATGCAATAGTGTAGATATTTTTTTCTAGGATCACATTAAACTGCTGGTCATTATTTCTTAATGCCTACTGCATGCACTTTTTCCCATTTTTCTTCTGCAAGCATTCTTGTGATGTCTGATTGACCTGAACATACTTTTGCACAGATTACAGTGGCTTTGTTGATGCGTTTGTTTTCTTACCGAGCTATGGGACATAACCTTTTGTCTTTTGAAATTAAACAGTGTTACTATTATGCTATCTGAGGTGGGTTCCTTATTCATTGCGATTCACCTATTGTGTAGTTGAAACGTCAGAGTCACCTGCGTGTTGTAGGTT